TAAGTGTGTAAAAGACTGAGGTAAGCAAAACACAGTAGATGATGCACTATTAGGAAGGTTCTGCAGTCCACAAATCTCCTCCTGATAATTCTTAATTCATGAACCACACTTAGAAGAATTAAGAGATTACTTTAACAAACTAGTTGACATGGTTTTTCAACACTCATTCTCGCCACACACTAGTTAAACCATGAAGAGAATATTTGAAGCAATCATAAAGAAAGACAATAGTAACTGGCAGTCCACGAAGGTTCTGTGGTCTAAAAATCTCCTCCCGAGAATTCTTAATTCATGAACCACACTTAGGAAACTTAAGGGATTACTTTAACAAACCAGTTGACATGGTTTTTCAACACTCATTCTCGCCACACACAAGTCAAACCATCGAGAGAATATATGAGGTAATCATAAAGAAAGCCAACAGTAGCAGGCGCCATGTTGAATTTCAACCTAAACATCAGATTACAAGACTTTTATGCAAAAGAGTATTTCAAGACTACAAGAAATCAGTCCCTACAAAGAAGAAACCTCGACTAAAATGAATAAAGACACATCACATTGATCCTAGTAAATGTTTCACAAGTTTTCCTTTCAACACGTCTAATTCTCTTTCTCTTATATTTTCAGATTCGATGAGAAATTCTTTTGAGGAGTGGGTGAATAATACATGCACTAGAGTCCATAATACATGTTTCTTTGGATTTACTTTAACACTTAGATGATGCACTACCACGAAGGTTCTGTAGTCCAAAAATCTCCTCCCATGAAATATTAATTCATGAACCACACTTAAGAGACTTAAGGGATTACTTTAACAAACCAATCGACATGGTTTTTCAACACTTATTCTTGCCACAAACAAGTCAAACCATCAAGATAATATCTGAAGCAATCATAAAGAAAACCAACAGTAGCTGACGCCATGTTGAATTTCAACCTAAACATCATATTACAAGACTTTTATGCAAAAGAGGATTTAAAGAATACAATAAATCAATCCGTACAAATAAGAAACCTCGACTAAAACACATAAAGACACATCACATTGATCCTGGTAAATGTTTCACAAGTTTTCCTTTCAACACATTTAATTCTCTTTCTCTTGGATTTTTAGATTCGAGGATGAATTCTTTTGAGGAGTGGGGAAATGATACATGCACCAGAGTTCATAATACTTGCTTCTTTGGACTAATGTTTCTACTCCGAACCTATTAGAAGAACAAAGTCTCGAAGATTAAAAGCATATATATTCGTTAAGCAAAATGTGAATGAATCATTAAATTATTCTAATGTTTCTCCCTTTAATGTTTCAGATTCAAGGTCAAATGTTTTTGAAGAAAGGGAGGATGCTACATGCATCACAAAGCTCACATTAAAGGGAGAGGTAATAACTCTTCCAAATGATCCACTCGTCCAAGCCTTGGAAAAGAAGACTTGCGATGACTTTTTGAATAGGATCCAGATCTTATTTGGTCAACATGTCTTCTGTATATATGACTTTCTATCTCTTATATTTTCAAAGGTTCTTGAATTGTATGAATCTGATATCGGTAACTCAAGATATGGTCATTTTAGTGAAGACAATGCATACAGAAAATCCTATACGAGATTAATACGAGATTTTGTAAATATTACGAATTTTCAATATATTGATTATTTGTAATATAATTTAATAAAGGATGATGCATTATCTTTTAGGATTATATTTATTATTTTAATATGAATTAAGGTTGTGTTAAAATATTATGTTTAGTTTATTATTATTTTATTAGGAATTAGAGTTAAGACATGTTTAGGTTGTTATTATTTTATTCATTAGTTATTTAGGACCTTTAGAACTCATCCCTTATATAAAGGAGGCTTCATTCAACTTTTAAAAATATATTTCTTTGATTAATAATACAACGAGAGTTCGTTTTTGCAAGTGTTGATTGACTTGTGCCTTCGAAGCTTCTTCTTTTGGAGTTCTTTCAAGTTCTTGTGAGGGAGATTAATCTTCACACTCCAATTTGCCTTTTCATCGCGACTAGGAGAGTTTTTCAGAGCCATATTATTGATTTTTCTTTTTCATTACGACTAAGAGTGTTCAATAGGATACTTAGAGCCATATTATCGAGTTTGCCTTTTCATTGTGACTAGGAGGGTTCGATAGGACACTTTTCCATCTAGTTTCCACAAATCCATCCTCACCATCATCATCTTTACCATTCACCTTTATAAGGGAACCACCTTCTACTTTTCATCCCCTTTTGTTCTTCATCAAGTCTAGAACTTTATAGGTTTGATTCTTCAACAAGACCAACGTTCATTAATCCACCACCGCTTCTCTATCACATAATTTATGGAATTCAATGTTATGCTTTGAAAATGAATGAAAAGGCCCAAGTTAGCAGCTAAAATTATCTAATCAAGGAATAATTAATCATAAAATAATGTATAGTTTAAAAACTAATCAAGAGGAAAATGAAGTGAAAGAAATCAGCTTTCCCTGTCTGATTACATCACCAATATTAATTAGATTTTTAGCCTTTAAAATACTTTAGGGGTTAATTACTTCCTTGGTCATTTCTCCTTTGAACCCAATTCAAAAATACCCTTTTATAGTTATTTTGACTCAAATCTAGCCTAATCAAGCTCAAACTTGGCCTAATGTTTTCTAATAGCCTAGTTTATTCATCCATAGCCGACTCGGGTAAACCCGAGATCATTAACCCAAACTTTAGGGCATTGCAAAGTGTAGGACACAAAAACACCAGAGTAATATCTAACTAGCATATTTTCAATGCGTGAGAGTAACTAAGAATATATGGATAACCCATCAATCATAACAAAATATCATTATACATAAGTAACTTAGGGTGTCCTCGTCGTTTCTCGAGTGGCAAACAAAGGCATAGTCATAAGATTCTTATGATTATCACACATATAACATTATCATCACATCATTACTATGTAGTCTTCATTATCAATTTCTCACTTTAGAGTTAAACATATCATCATGCTTCCTTAATCATCTCATTATTAATCATTCACACTATTAATTGAGTATCATTAATTTTCCCGTTATTTACAATGTTTCTAGGCTCCTCACTCGAGTCTCACATCATTATTCAATCATCTTGCTAGTTAAGCTCTTACTCAAGAACTACACATTCGATCACACATTATTAACCATTCACATTTTACTCGTCACATATTACAAAGTTCTCACCCTTAAGCTATCACTTTCAAGCCCTCAATCGCTAATGAACTCCTCGCTTTCGAGTCTATTTGATATCTCAAAGTCCATTAATCAATCATCATTGATAGTATCACTGGCTTTATATGGGCATCTATACCAATCCATGGGTATGGATACTCTTTATGAGTATCGATACCAAAATTAGCCCCCAAATCCACCAAATTACCTTTTAATATCGATACTATAGGTGGAGTATCAATAATACCCTATAAATTTTAGCTTTGAAGTTACCAAAAATCACCCTAGATATCGATACTATCATATAAAATATCGATACTACCCTTTGCAAAATACTCAGATTTTGCCTTTGTTCATATGGTATCGATACCAGTTCATCTGATAGCGATACAATATCTAGAAATACATTTTTTTCATACGATAAACACCCTCAAACTTACTCTAAACGCTATTTTTAATGCATATGTTGGTTATTAAATTTTATGAGAGTTATTAGGGGTCATAATACATCATTTAAAATGTTTAAAACCTTCATAATAATATACAAACACCAAGAACCCCATATGCTTCACCACTCCATACAAGCAAGCAAATTTGGCTCAATTGGTGTAATTGGTGTAATCACTGCACTATCGATGTCTATGAAAATAACATTGTATCTCTAAATTTTGTGCATCCAAAATTTGGATTGGGCGTCGGTGGGTATTGCTCTTTTGTTCTCTTAAAACAAAACTTGTAAATAACCAGAAAACAAAAAAACTTTGAAATAGAGAAAGAAATGGATAAAGGAAAATGATTTTTGGAGTGAGTTGAAATGCTTTGATATTTCTAGGCTAAACCTTTAACATAAAACAAAACAAAAAAATTACTGAAAATACAATTGAACTCTCACATCTATTAAAGTTAAAATTTCATCTAATAAATCAACTATTATAACAACTGGAATAAATTGAGAGTTGTCGCTAGTAAAAAACGACTAGATACAAACTACAGAGAACCCAATGGTCACCAATAGTTGTGATTTAACGGCTAATTAAGATTCCAAAAATTAAGCAAAATAATTACAAATATATATAATGATTTATAAAATTAAATAATATTCCAAAAATTAGGTACTAAACCCTAAAAATATAATAAATAATAAATTAAATAATTAAATAAAAAATCTTGAATGAAAAAGATAATGAGACCTATTAAAAATATAACATAAAGTGATGTGATATGTACCATGTTACTTAAAATAATTATGTTATATGTGTCTTGTTATCTAAAGTGATAACATGATATGTGTCATGTAACATAAAATGATAATGTAATATGTATCACGCCATCTAAAGTGATGGTATGACATATGTCATGACAAGTAATGTGGTGATATGATATGTGTTATGTCATGTCATCAAAATGAAAATGCGTCATGTATCACTTCTACGTGTATGTTACCATTAGTTAACTAACAATTTTCATTTAACAAAGATTATTTTCATAAAAAATTAAAAAGTTAAAAGTTAAAATAATCTCAAAATATAGAGATAAAGTGACTGTTGGAAGTAATTTTATCATCATGTCTTTAAAAAATTAATAAATATAATGGATGTTAATATATGAATTAATTTTTTGAACGAGGGTATTCGAGGGTCTCTTAATTTTTTTCGTCAGTTTTATAGTATCTTGTTAATAGAACACAAATGGTGAATATTTATTCTAATAATAAGAATAATGAGGAAGTTCTTATCAGAGGGGGGGGATTACAACTCTTAATAAAAGTGGAAACGAAAATACATAATATGGTTTTTCCTTATTTTGGCGTTCAAGGGTTTGTTGCTTCGTCTCCAAGTTCATCCCTAAGCTCATAATAACCCATCTCTGTAAGAACTTGTTTACACTCGGGCAGAGATTCCTTTATTTTGAACCCAAGGTTGTTGGTAAAGCGAATATCACCGCTGATGCCGTCGAGCGTGGTGAGGACAACCCTGGCTTTCCTCCATTCTTCGGTTGGATCATTGCAGTCCGGTCGGGGACTCTTCACCAGCATTACGTCGCAGTCTGAATCCCCATAATCTCCCTCCACTTCGATTTTGTAGTCTCCCTTTTCGTCGGTTGATGCGTCTAGGCTCCCTTAGGTAATGGATCCGGTGGTACGGTTCCTGCATTCCAGTCTCACAATTGCACCTGCCAGACACCGCAGGGATATAGAATTTTAATATTAGGAGTCAACTTATAAAATTATAGAAATTTTTTTTATAAAATTTTAGAGAACGAAAGCATGGTACGTGCCGATTATACTATACCAAAAACCACCTTTGTCAACACAATTCTTACATGTTAATTCTTTCCATGCATTTGAAATATAAGAAAAGGAGAAAAAAGGATTGTTAAAAATGTAGGGATTTGATTATGTACCATTTATGGCTTGGCTGAGCTTGGTCTCGAATTCAACGCGGCAAGTGTCGCAGTAAACATGGCCTACGACGCTGAAATTACCTGCTTTGCCTGCTGCTCCATAGGCGAAGCTAAGGTAGGAGGAAATACAAACGACGAAGAAAAAGAGGGCGATTACATAAGCTTTCGCCATTTCTTTCTTTGTTCTTTATTGGCTTGGGTTATCAATTCTTGACCAAAAATGGTGAATTTATAGGGAGGGATTCACTTTGTTTGGGTTATGTTGCTATTCAAATTTTCTATTTTTAAGGGTTTGGTTTATTGAGGATCCGGAAGACTTCTTCATCCTCCTTTTTAATTGCTTGAATTTTATTAAATAAAACAACTAATTATCTAAACAAGGATTTAAAGAGAACAAAAACTTAATAATAAGAATTTTTCATGCGAACAATTATCTTTTTCCCTTAAATTTCCATTGGTTGAATTTGAATATGTGATTGTAATTATGATATAATGAGAAAATGACGAGCACCCTAAGCTATATCATATATAAATGTATATACATTGATGCGATAATTATATTTATAGATTAAACAAGGTGACTAACAAATCAATCAATGCATAAATTGCTAAAATTTTCTATAAGAATGTAGTTTAAAAGTAATATATGAAATAAGAAATGAAAAGATGTAATGACAAGTATTGCACTTGTCTCTCTAGTGGCCTGGACACAAACACGGCAGATGACGTATGCGAGGGGAGCATGTGTTTTCTTGGATTGTTTTTGGAAGAAATGGGTGTTAGTTACTGCTGAAAATAATTTGAATTAATGTTTTTTTATGTGAAGATAATGAATATTAATTTTTTTAAATGAAGATTATGTAACAAATTTCAAAAATGTTTTATAGCCAACGAAATGGTTCGGATTAGAGTAGAAATAAATTTTCATTCAAAATTTGAAGCTACTGAAAATTTTCCAAAACTCGAGACAAGATGTATTTATATTTTTGAGTCGAAACTAAAGTCAGATAACTAAAAAAACCGACTTATCCCATACTGACGCATTACCATTCATGCGCAATAATAAATAGGGATGGAAATGAGATAATCGTTCAGGTTTCGGTTAGATTTTATTAGATCAGGTTAAATCGGATATCGATTATGTCATGTCAATTTAAATGTTTGACTTGAATCAGGTCGGATCCGAGTCAAATCAGTTTGGGTCATTTTTAGGTTGATTTGATATTCAAATTCAATTCAGGTTCGAATAGGTTAATTTTAGGTCTGATCAATGTCAGTTCAGGTCAAAACGGTTCAGGTCCGAAACAATTAAATATTAGGTTAATTCAGGTTCGGATGGACTTCAGTCGGATCTCGTTCAAATCGGGTCACATCATTGACAAACAAGATTCAAGTCGAATTTTATCGGGTACGGATTGAGTTCAGGTTGGGTCATTTTTTAGTTAATTATGTTTCATCTTTCGTGAACGACGGATTGTAATTTGTAATTTTATATGATTTTGAGTAAATTATAAAAAAATATAAATAATTATGAGTCAACTTTAATAAAATTATAATTTTAAGGACTAAATTGAATAAACACGAAATTATAAATTTAAATTTAAATAAATTAAATAACATGTATGGATGAGGGATCAACTCAAAATAATTATAAAATATTAAGTTGAAATTAATATAAAAATGGACTAAAGTGAATTCATTTAAAAAGTTGATGAACAAAAGTTTATAAAGTTTTGAATATTATAATATAATTTTTAAGGACTAAATTGAATAAACATAAAATTACAAACTATAATTTAAATAAATTAAACAATATACATAGATCAAATTAAAACAACTATAATATATATATATGCGTATATATTTTAATATTATATATATACATAAATATATATAAATATATATGTATGATGTATGTACTTAAGTATATATATATATATAAGCGTGCACACACATACGTGCTCACACGTTTATATATAAGAATAAGTATATACATAAATATAAATTTATATAATCATATTAATTATCATAGTTTATTATAAATTCAAAATCTCAAAACACCATAAATTGTAATTTATAAGTCACGTAAATATCAAGTCAGAAAAATATCATATTAGTTTAATAAGTTGGATCATTTACAGGTTTAGCGAATTATAGGTCAAGTTGATAACAAGTCAGGTAATACCAATTATCTACCAAGTTAATCTCGGGTTCAAGTTCATAAATGTTGGATGCAGGTCGAGTTCGATTATCTTATTTTTTTTGTTCGATTTGGGTTCAGGTCGTTCTTAGATCGGATGCATGTTGGGTTAAGATCCACAATTTCAAGGTCCAACTCGGGTTCAGGTCAACACCAGTTGGAATTCGAATCGATTTCATATATCATTACCTCGAGTTACAAACAGTTTTGACTCAAATTGATTTCAGTCAATTTTGCAATTCAGATAAGCTTTTACATCCTAATAATAAATGGTTTAAATTATTTAACTCTTTTTAAAATTAAATTTTAATATCTAAATCTAAATAATCCATCAATGGTATAATATACTTGTGATTAATGAAATGACACTGGTGGGATGCATTTGAGATTCAAATTTATTAGTTTTTTTAATAGTTTAAGTTGATTGCAATGCAATATATATTTAAAAATATATTATTAGTCATGTAAATTCATTATTTAAACGTAATTATTTAAATTCAAATTTTTTAATAGAATAATTTTTTTATTATTAATATCGATGAATAAATTATAAATTTATTGATTTTAATTATACTATAATCACACGAACCAAAAGTTTGTCCTTTGGGGATTTGTTTGGATATTTTAAGGGGGTTAGATAGTTCATAATCATTTTAAATACCTGTATTTCAAGTTTTCACCAAGCATATGCCAAGCTGTACATGCCGCGTCATTGATTGAGATTGACATCTGTTACAGTTTTAAAATGATTACATATGTATAAATTATTGATTGAAATTAAAAAAAATTAAAAATATATTGAAAAATAAATAAAAATTAATATTTATTCAAAAATATCTTTTATTTATTAATAATACATGCACCTTACAATCTACATATGCAAAACAATATTAAGAGAAATGAGGTGACCTCCCAACCGAGTTTGTCAATTCGTAAATGTCAGGTTTTAAACCCCTGACCTGCTTAAGAGATCTAGTGTCTGATCTCAGTAGATCAATTGATTGTTAGTGTAATTTAAAGTTTTTAACCATATGTTCTAAAGATTATTAACCATTCAATTTTTTAAAAAACAATGACAACTTGATTTCATTAATAAAAATAATGAAATGAATAAGAATTATAATGCACCCAAACATACAAAGAAAATTAGAGACAATAGTCATCAAAATACTAGTACAAAAATAAAATATTTAACCCAAAGATACAAAAAAAAGAAACATTCTATTGAGAATGACGACTAACATCAGAAGAACCAAGTAACTTTCATAAAAACTCCTTGTCTCTGTCGAATAAGACAATTTACGAAATGATAAAGGGGTGATGAGCCAACAAAACTATCTAATAAATTGTTTTGCTACACATTAATTATATTAACAAACAACATTTTATCAAAGAAGAGATCTAACTATATGTAACCATTGACAAACTAATCAAAAAATAAATATCGTGATAGTTTTGTTCGGCCACCAAAATAACTGCAAAGATATCCATCTAGTAATTATAAATTGACATAAAACTTATATGTTTTTATATTTCATAATGATACAATCACCCCCAACGTTTGCACAAGTTGTCACTTTGTCCCTTATTTTTTTCATCATATTACTTCCTAACGTTTCAAATGAGATGTAATTTAAAGCCTTTTTTATATTAATCACATCGGGTATTGCAGAGGCAATTGTGACCCTTGCAACCTAGTTTGCTCCATTCGCAAACACCATGTTTCGAACCCATGACATTCCTTAAGGGATCTAGTGCCTCATCCCACTATATCAACTGGTTGTTGGTGTAATTTAAAACTTTTAATTGTATGTTCTATAGATTATTGACCATCTAGTATTTTTTTTTAAACAATGACAACTGAATTTCATTAATAAAAATAATGGAATGAATAATAATTATAATCCACCGAAACATAGAGAGAAAATTGGAGACAATAATCATCAAAATACTCGTACAAAAAACAAAATATTTAACCCAAAGATACAAAAAATGTAACATTATATTGAGAATGATGACTAACATTAGAAGAACCAAGTAACCGTCATAAAAACTCCTTGTCTTTGTCGAATAAGACACTTTACAAAGTAATAAAGGGGTAATGAGGGAACCAAACTATTTGACAAATTGTTTTGCTCCACACTAATTATATTGACAAACAACATTTTATCAAATAAAAGATCTTACTATACGTGACAATTGAAAAACTAATTGAAAAATAAATATTGTGATAGTTTTGTGTGAGCATCAAAATAACCGCAAATATATCCATATAGTAATTATAAATTGACATAAAAGTTATATGTTTTTATAAGACATATGACACAATCACCCTCAATGTTTGCACAAACTGTCACTTTGTCCCTTATTCTTTTTTTTATCATATTACTTCTTAACGTTTCAACTTTTGACCAAAACATACCCTATTGGATCAAAATTGTTAGTTGACTAACAATTAGTGCATGTTATTCACATGTAATTTTCACATGAGATCAATCAATGATCTGACATGTGTCACATACCTAAATTAATTGTATGACATGTGTCATTTCACTCTAAGTGATGACATAACATTGTCATTGGCACACCCCATTTTAGGGGTCAAATTATAAGTTTTTGAAACTTAATGATAGATTTAGAAAGTACTGAAATTCAAGGACCCAGCTGTGAATTTACCTGTTTTTTTTTTGTTAATGAAAAATAAACCCCTTCCCCAGTGAAATCCCTAAAACTCAAAATTCCCCCCCAATTTTTACCCCCAATTGAGCAACCCCTTTGCTGGCCTGATTTCCCGCTGTCCGACCACCTCAGTCTGCATTGCTACCCCCATTCGACTCCCTATCGAGCGATGACCAAAGCCTGAACCTTATTACGCCGTAAAATGCCTCCCTACGCCATGAATCGAAACTCAAATCCTCACCGAGAACCCTACCTTGTTGTTCATTTTTTTCATGATTTTCGGTAACACCGATGGTTTGTTCGCCTCATCACCACCCTAGGAA